CTAAGTATGAACGATAATTAATTTTTTTTTTTCTATTTTACCATAAGTAAATTTAATGCAAATTAAACTTTACTTAAAAACTATCAAATTTTGAATATTCATTAACAATTTGTTGTAACATACCAAAAATTATTCATAGTTTTCTCAGCTTGAACACTCAATCGAAAGATAAAAACAAAATCGTATGTTCAGTAGCTCTACTCCATGTATATCTTATCGAGTACACGTTGTTATAATCACATGGGACTACAAAAAAATGCCAGCACAACAACAACATGAACAGTAATTTAACACTCGTATATCACATGAAATATCATTTCCGTTAATATAGAGCACATTCAACTAAGCAATAATTGACCCAGCATTTGTCTGGTTTCTGTTTTCTCCACAACATTTAACTGTCTCTTATAATTATGTAAAATTAGAATAAATATTTCAAAATTGTAAATTTTCAAATTAAGTTTAACCTAGAGATGAGAAAAAATTACTAAATTACGAGGGTTGCTTACAACATTTGCGAGCTACAAAGAAATTATACTGATAGTTAATCCATAATTATTTTATTCAAATTTATTTGTTCAAATATATTTACATTAAACTCAAACATTTCTCAAACCACCCACGCAATTAGTTCCAACTTGAAAGTATTCGAACAGCAATACAAATGAGTAATAAGTCAAGCTGCCCACGCAGCCACTAACAAAGCTTATTTAAAGGCACTTCAGCAATCTAATCAATGCGAGCATTTCGTTTTTGGGTCTGTTTATGGCCGACCACAAGGCGAGTTTATTGCAATCGAGCACACAAATTCTGTCGAATAATTATAACTTCTTCGATGTTTACAATTTGGCTTGGTAATTTCATTATTGAGCTCTTTAATGCAATAATGCGTAAAGTGCACTCAAAAATGTCCTTGAAGGACTTTAGTACAATGCCAGCAAAATTCATTTGACAAGCCAGAGACCGAGTAAATTGGCAACAGGGTCACTGAAAATGATGGATACGACAAACGCAGCACACAACTCGTTTCCGTTTCCGCTTTCGTTCCGTTCAGTTTCAATTTCAGCCTCAGATGACAAGCTACGCCCACTCATAAGCTAGGCATGTGCTCAAGTGTTGGAAAACGTGCGACAATTTGACGTTTGACAGATTAATGTTTGTTAGGGATGTGACAATTATTATGCAAAATAAGTTCCATAGATGAAGTCATTAAGTGAACTACTTAAACAGCAATCACTTGAGCTCTTCATAAGAAATGCTCTCTGTTTAGTTATGTAATGAATCATGATTGATTAACGATTAATTATATTCTATGCTATAACAGAAATGTGATATATGAATAATTGAATGTTGACATCACACATATCATATATCTGTTTCATTCAGTTAATCAGCTGTTCACGAAATGTCGATTATATTCAGCTATTTAAATGTTCTTACGAATTATTTTTCATACTCAGCTATTCAGCTGTTAGTAATGATTGAGTGAAGAACTGTTAAATAGAAATCAATTGTAAACGAGCTACAGAACCAACATAGTACAACTACATTTATAAACTTGGTTCATAGAATTTCTTTGCTTTACTTAATTTAAAGCAGATTGAAGTATTTTATACGTAAAATGTATATACATATATTATTAATGATATTTTTCTTTGCAAGTTCCATTTACCTTTGTGTGTCTCTTCGAACTGAGAACTTTGCAGTCTTGTTTGGGTCTTATTTACTCTTCTATTTGCAAGTTTTGCAATTCAATTACATTGGCAAAATCCTCGACTAAACCGAATGAGACCCTTGAGCCATGGATGCATGGCTGAATGCCTTTGGTGCAATGTTGCTCAAGTTCGATGATAGCAAAACAACGAAAGAGATAACAAAGCCAGAGGCAACGAGGCGATGACACAAAAACAAATAAACAAACAAGAAATGTTTATGTTTAAAGAAACTTTTACTTTTTATGCTATAGAAAATTGAGTCAAATTTCGTGGTTCTTTTGAGAAGGGTGGGATGGAATAGGGATGGAAAATGAAAGTCCTACCAGTAGGTGTTTTAGCGACTCATTTATACTTCTTGTTCTTCTTCTTCTGCTATAGCTGTCAAGTGGTCGCTGCAATTAGTTGTTTGCGACATTTACAGATTGCAAACTTTCCGCTTGACTGCGTAATGCTTGAACAAGAAGAAGAAGAAGGAGAAGTAACTTTGTCTTCGTCCCTGATTTAATTTCGCAATTAAAAACTTTCATAATTGCAAGCGCCAACACTTGCGCAGCTCGTTAACTGTTTGTCAAACCARCAACAACAACAACCAACTGGTGACAAACCAGGTGCAGTGGCTTCTTTGCCTAGCCCTTTTGGCCAGCTTTGACAGCTGACGCTTAAGCGGCATTGACATTGCCACTAATTAGCAAACATTTCCCGCTTTTCCGCCGCGCATCAATTTATTTCATGTCCATCACAGCGTATAATTAAACTGCCTATTAAATATGACAGATTTTTGTGAAGAGTAGTTTAATATCTAAATATAACTACATACATACATACATACATAGATTTGATACAGATATCAACTTGGCTGCTTAGCTCTGTTCTAGTCTGTCGTAATTGCCTTCTACTCTTTAGAGCAACGCATTACACGCTCTTCTCCTCTCTCACTAATACTACTGCAGCAACATTATTAGTGCAAGGCTGAGCGCTTGCCTAATATTGCTGTAAAAACAATTTCATCCAAGTGCGCTCTCATTTCTGCTTATGCTCACTGCGAGAGAGCGAGAGAAGAATTGCCGTTACTGAACGTAACCTTGAATGTTGCTGAGAGAGTGAGATGGCAACGTAAGCCCTTTGAAAGCGAGGCAGAGAAGAAGGCGACTGGAAAAAAACACAAGGTGAAGGCAGCTGATCGGGAATTCGTTTTCTTGAGCAATTTTAATGGAAGGCGATAGTGGAAAAGAAAGACAGATAGACAGACACGGCATGATATTCATATACACACACATATACTTTATGGCGTCAGCTGCGCTAGACTGTCTGTCTGCCTGTTGTAAGCGAGGGTAGTCTGAAAAATGCTAAATATAAAATGTTAGATATGTGATTTGGTTTACCAGCGTGCATTCAAATCATCGCTATGAATTAGATTGAATAGTATATTGATACATCGATATATAGATATATATTTTTAGAGCAAATTTCATAATTCAGATAAATTAAATTATTAGTTTAACTACTAACTGCCCTCGCAGTCTGCACACATTTGCAAACTGAAGCCAAAAACTGTTTTTGCTGTGCAGCGTTTGCATTGGCCATAAGAAAAATAAAAAACTGAAATGTCTGTCAAATGTGATAAAAGGCAACCCCAATCGGTTCTTATGTCATACTCTATCATAGTCGTTGCTGCTGGTGTTGCTGTTCTTGTTGCTATTGCTGTTGCTATGCGAAATATTGGTGTCAATGTGTCAATATGTGAGGTATTTACACGTGCGCAATTACAAGCCATACAAACAACTGCACAAACCACTTCCGTGTGGGCGTGGACAGGCGTGTGTGTGTTTGTTGGTATGCTTGCAAAGGGAAATGCTTCACACACACACACATATACACATTTGCATACAACACTTTGCACATTCAGAGACATTCGCTGAAAGTAGCTTTTCATCTATTCTATAATTTTCTTTAGCAGTAAGGTTTTTAGTTTTATATAGGTTACTAATACTTTCTTATAAATATAGAAATTTTTAATATATAGTATTTATTTAATATAAAAAAGAAAAAATCATACAACTTATTTATAGAAAATCGCCACTTATATTTACTTAATTTTTATAATTCTATATTTTAAAAATTAAGCTTTACTTTTTATAAATTTATATTCTTAAATACTTATTTTATATAATTCCCTTGCAATATCCTACGTAATTGCATAATTTTAAAAATTGTTTTGCCAAACTCAATTTCGTCTATAATTTAAGCGTATTTTAATGGCCATAATTTGTTTTTTTTTTTTTTTTTACGCGAAAAGTATAAACTTAGTTTGCTCTTTGCCATAATTATGAACTGGAACTGCAAGTTTGATCGATTCGGCATCGCCTCTTTTAGCTGTTTGCATTTTAAAGACCCTCCCAGGTGCTTCTTTGACTATGTTTTTGCCATGAATGCAAATTGGTGAAGGCTAACGTCTCAATGTCAAAGGCGCTTCCTTAATTGCTCTACCAGGCAAACGCAAACACACACACACACACACTTATACACTTATACAGATGACTCAAGCAGAATAAGAGCGAACTCAAAGTTCAAGCGTGAACAATTTCCGCTCAAGTTTTCAGCAGGCATCAGGCAGAAACATAATCTCATTGATGTCAACTACATATATGTATATCTGTATTTGTACGAGGGTAGTTTTATAATTTCAAAGGGAATAAATATCAAAAAGAGTTTTGAACTATATTAAACTTAACTTTAAGTCAGAAAAGATAATTTGTTGGCTTCGTTAATCCAAAGTCTATGACTGAATTGTCCGTGAACGATCCTTGCACAGTTCCAAACATGTCAAACTGACTTACTAGATGAATGGGTTTATTATAATCTATAAACAATTTAGTTTACGACTCAAGTAGAAGCTCATAATCCAAGTCATCGAAATTGAGCTGGCATTCGCAGCGCTCTGATAAAGTAATAACAATTTCTGGAATAACGGTTTTCGTCATTTTTGTTTTGTATATATATATATATATATTTTTTTTTTTTTGCCCCCCAAAATATATATATATATATATTTTTTTTTTGTGACTGAAATTTCCATTGAAAATCACGCAATTTTTTTTTAATTGTCCTTGATTTTTACGACTGTTTTGGGTTTGTTTTATCTGTTTTGGTTTTTGTTTTGCGTCTTTTAGCCATTTGCGGGCCCACTGGCTGAATATAAATGGTCGCTTATGCTTTTCCTATTTAAGTTTCTTGTTCTCTTTATATATTATATATTCAAATATTATTGACTTTCTTTTCTTGCAGATCTGCGCACCGCATTCGATCTATTAGACAGAAACCGAGATGGACGCGTTACGGCAAATGAATTGCAGTTTATGCTCAAGAATCTGGGCATTAATGTGCGTGATGAAATTATACATGATCTCATACGTGAGGCAAGCCATTCAGGTAAGTGCCGCCACTTGCGTCGAGGCTACTTCAGCACAAGCAACAACAACAACAAAAACGAAAACAACAGCAGTAGCAACAACATCAGGAAGAGGACCATTTCATAGAAATGTTGTCGCAAAGCCAAACAATGGTTCGTTGGGGCCAGACCGCTTTCGATGAATGTGTGTGTGTGTGTGTGGGTGGGTGGGTGGTTGTGTTTCTTGAAGTGTATGATTATATGTATGTATGTGCGTGTGTGCGTGTTTATAGTTAAACTAGAATTTTATGTTTTAAAAATAAAGCATTAATTAGGCTTAGTCCAGTCAGGCATTGGATATTACGTATACGCAATACGAATATGAATTTAGTAGTGTGTATTCATTATATATATGTGTGTGTGGGTGTGCGTATGTCTGCAAGCTTATTCACTTTGATATGTATGCATTTAGTTTCACTAAACTAAACATGCATAGAGCTCTGCCAACAGAGTCGTTAAATATTACGTATACGCAATGAGCAAGCACGTTTATACTCTGTGTGTTTCCATAATATGTGTGTGTGTGGGTATAATATATGATATATAAATTATATATATAGATGTATCTACCTGCATTTATTCAAAGAACATCAAACAATACGAAAGTTGTTGCAGCAAACGGCATTAAAAATTACGTATACGCCACAGTGATGCCGCTTTGAATAGTTTTGTTTATATAATGCTAAATGCAATTGTTTTAGTTTATAGTGTTTTGCCTTTTTTACATTTTCAACAATATCTCAATGCTCTTATGCAATTTTTTTAACAGCTCTGGCTGGGACAATCGAATCGCGGCATTTTTTTGCCAACGTCCAAATGCCAAAATCCGCATTAAGCCAATTTGTAAAGTTATCTTTTTTTTTTCTTTTTCTATTTAATTTACTCGTTAGCTAATGCAATTTTTATATTATAGTATGTAGGAATTCCCTTCAGTGTTGTCTACTTTGCAGCAGCATGGCCTGGCACTAAGCGCATTTTTATTAGTTTCTAGCAAACGAGGCGAGTCCTGCTGCTCCTGCCTCGTCCCCGTCATCGTCGTTGTCTGGCATTTGCGTTGTGGCCACGCTCACATTGTTGATTTAATTTGTGTGCCATTATTTGATCGGGCATTATACCTCTTCCTCTTCTACCTCAGCCTTTTATTTTTTTGCTGATAAACAATAAAAAGTAAATTATGCCAGCCAAGCAGAACATTCAATTTTCAACCGAAAATTTGTTTTTGCAAAATTTATAATGATTTCATATTGCTGAGAGTTCGCTTATTTTGCCATTTTAAATATATGTTTCCCTGTTTACAATTCTCAATTATTGCTTTCATATACATCAATTAATTAACCCTTAAACTCGTTTGGTTTAAATTCATATTTTATGTGGAATTTGGGGCGTGGCACTTACTTGTCTTCTAACAAAAGCTGCAAATTGAAATCAGAGTCACGCACAGTTCGTTCATTTGATGTAGTACGCACATCCACACACTGACACACACACGCACACACAGACATACATATGCAAGCGTCGCGTCGTATAACAAGAGCGGCGCAACTGTTGCTGACAGCTTTCGAGGGCTGTTTTGATGGCTGCCACCAACAGTGGCCGCAGTGTTTGCTTCATGTACTTGGCAAACACATATTTATATAACCATTTCTATTTGTTGTTGCTTTGTTTTTTATTATTATTATTATTATTTTATATGGCCTGCCAGCCTCAGGCATTGACACGTGCAAAAATGTGCAACAAAAAATTTTATATTATTAAAAAGAATACTCTTCAGGCAACAAAAACTAGTCAAACAAATGTTTTCCATAAATTTGATCAAACGCAGCTGCCAGAATTGTTTAGATAATTTAATGAATGCTCTTTATTTTAAAAACTCTGAAAGTTTGAATAAATATTTCTTTAAATGTGGAAAAAATAAAATATGAAAATAAATTTAATTCAATTTGAATTGGAAGTAAAGCAAAGAAAAAATAATCATAAATATATACTATTTACAATATATGTATATATTTAGAAATTGAAAAACTTTAATAAAAATAATATAAAAAGGTTAAAATTTCAAAGTTTAAATTTAAGTAAAAATACGTTTTTAAATTTCGTTTACTTTGAGTTTAATTTTGGAAAAATCTATTCTTGTAAACATAATTTTTTTAAATCCTTTCAAAACAGAAAAATAATTGTAAAAATTTTTTACAAACATATTTTCTTTTTTCTTAAGAAAAAAAAAAATCTATTTTCAGAGCTAGTCTAAAAATATAACTTTTAACTATATTTGTAAGCTATGTAAGCTCATCAGCAAACAAAATGTAATTTAATCTAATTTCTATTACTAATGAGCTAAAGCCGCAGCTGGTTAGAAAAGCCACAAAGAAAATTCTTCACAATGTCAGAAGGAGACAAAGAAAACTAAACTTAAATACCTTGAAATGAGCATATATATATGCAGGATAAATGATGCGAGGGCGACGCTCCCTGACTTGACTTCACTTATATGTGCTATAGGTTAAACAGATATATAGCTGTGCAGAGATGAGCTAAGGATCGAAGTGAATTCTGCTGAAAAAGAGAGCTTGAAAGTTAAACATAGATCTATACAAAGAATCCGTTTACATTAAAGTTCTGCTAATTTGTTGCAAAATGTACAGAGTTTTATTTTCCATTCTACCGAACTAGCTTTATTTTAGCACAGTTAGCGAAACTGAGCCTTTGTTCTCGCTTTTCTATTTTTGCCCATCTCTGCTCATCTCTCAATATTTTTTTATGGCATTTCATCAATTTGTGGCACAAAACGTGTAGAATGCAACGTAAAGCGCACACTTTATGGCTTCATTTACATTGCTTGGGTTTCATTATTCGCTCACACAGTTCAGTTGGCATTCGACAGGCGGTCGACGCAGGCCACGCACTTTGCCCTGATTTAGCTACTAAAACCTTATTGCAGTGGCTCCCATTTTCCCGAGTGGTCTATGTTGCTCCCTCGTTGCCTTGCCTCCAGAAGTTATTTATGCTCGTCTTTATGTGTCGCACGATTTGAACTTTAAGAGCCTCGAACCTTTGGGGTCAATTGTCGCATAAGCATTAGGTACTTGTCCTAAGCTCCTCGCCTGCTTGGCTAGGCAGTTTATTTTATTTTATTTTTTATTTTTTCCATCAAGAAGCACAATTAATTAACGCGTCAAATGACAAAAACCTTAATGTCCACTAAAAGTTGCCTGTAAATGCATTAAAAATAAAATTTAAATGCTTTCTACGCTACAGATTGCTTTTGCGTGATTTTATCAAATGGCTAACACACAAACACGCGCACACATACACACGCATATACTCACATTTGGTCAATGTGTTGTCCAGGCCATTAAATTGTCGTTGCGTGTTTTGCGATTTGTTTAAAGCCAAACGCTATACAGACTGCAGTTAGGTTCGAAGCAAAAATTCTTGGTCAAGTGCGGAATGTTCAATACTGAATTAGTTCAAATGATTATTTTATAAGTTGCACTAGTTCAGCAGCTGTTTAACGATACTAGGGAGTTGATCAAAGATGATTCACATTCACTCCTAATCGCCTGCTGAATAGCTGAATATCGTATTGGTTGATTAACAACGATCGCTCATTACAACTGAGCTATGTATATAGTTCAGGAATTACGTTATACTGATTAGCGATATATACCAATATAATTCACATAGATTAAGCTATCCGTAGTTGCTTGCTGAATAAGTGAATATCGCATTGGGTGATAAAAAACGATCAGTCATTAACAACTCAAAGAAATAGTTCATAGAACACAAGCATTGGTTCATTTGAATAACTAGTTCAATTGTACTTGAAGTGAACCACGCGGCGCAGCTCTAAGACTCGTTTATATTTCAAACTTGTTTCCACTTAATTTTCACTGTCCATCCAAGACATTCTGCTTCACTTTAACCCATGGCCAAGGCAACCTAGACATCAAATTGAAGCAGGCTAATTTGAATACAAATTTAACCAAATTCTGATCAAAAAGGCCAAAGCAAAATAGCCAAAAAAAATACTATAGAGCAATGAGAGGCGTGTAAAAAGGAATTTAAAACAAAGCTGAGTAATAGCCGGGCACAAAACTGTTATACACGCACGTGAGAACTGTCATACGCAGAATGACGAAGAATGAATGCTCTAGCAAATATCTATAGCTATGACAGCCAAAGACTGAGCATTAGAAGATTATATGGATTGTCTATAGATTGAGATTCGAATTGGCTTTGGCTGGAATTTAATTTTTATATATTTTTTGCCCAAGCGCAATTTAAACGAAAAAATAGCAAGAGCCCCATGGTAAGGCCCCAAAAATCAATGAATTCAAAGTTCAAAGAGAATAGATTAAAATATTTCCCTGGCTGAGTGGGCTTCCATTAAAAAAGGGCAGCTCAATAAGATTTCTAGAAAACATTGTGTTTGGCATTGTTTCAAGCTGCCTTTGATACCAAAGTGCGATTAACCAAATAATAAATAGTTTCCCTTTAGTTTGATACATTATATATACACATATGTGTGGGGGTATGTTATAGGGCCATATGCTAGTAATCCTCTGCCCATATGTTCATGTGGACAAAGGCAAAGTACTCAATGTTTATGGCATGTTTTACAAGCAAAATGAGCGATGCAGCGAGGGGAGGGGGCGAGAGCGAGTGTGTGATGGAGAGACGGAGGGAGAGAGAGAATGTCTGCTGCAGCAGTCAAGCTTTTACACACCCACACAGCTACACACACAAACACTCAGGCAACACTTTGTGGGCACACTTCCGTTTCCGTTGCACGTTGCCCTGTTGAGGTCAGCAACAGCAACAGCAACAGCAACGCAGACAACAGCAACAGCAACACAAGCAACACTAACTCAGCAGCAGGTGCATTTGCCAATAATTGATTGCATTTCGGCATGAAGCTGTTGCCATTTGCCATTTACCATTTGCCACTGCTGCTGACTGTTGGCTGTTGGCCGCTCACTGCTGTTGCTATTACCATTTGTTATGCACAATAGAGCTGCGAGTTCTAGCTCAATTTTCTGGAATCAGTTCAATCAATCACAATCAAGTTGTGAACTAGCGCATAATAATGAAGTGTTTTATAGGATGGACTGGATTATGATGCACTTTATATACGCGTAAATAAAAATATTATTTACTTTGATTGTTTATATGTGTTCATATAAATATTTTTATATTTTTTACCCTGAACCCGTTGAAAATGGGAATTCGTGGTAATATAATAATTTTGTTGAAATGTATGCAACAGGCAGAAGGAGGCGTGGCAGACCCCCCAAAGTATATATATTCTTGATCAGGGCGACGAGCCGAGTCGATTTAGCCCTGTCCGTCCGTCCGTCCGTCTGTTCGTATGTACGCCAATATCTCAGAAGATATAAGAGCTAGAGAGTTGAAATTTTGCATACATACTCGTGTATACCATATGCAGTACAAGTTTATCATATTTTTCATAACTCATCCGATATATTTTTTATCGAGAATAATCGATAAATGGATTTGTTTTTTCAGTCCAATTTGAACAAATTTTAGTTCTGGAATCTTTTTTTATACTGTGTATATACAGAGCCAAGACTATTGTTCCTAATTGAACCATATGCTCAATTCATCACTCAACAAGTTCAATGCAGTTCAGCTCATTCACTCAAGTCAACTCTAATTCGACTGCTGCTGCCATTTACCTTTTGCTTGCGGTCTGCTGTGAGCATAATGCAGCTTCGAGTCCTTAATTTGCAGCATGCCTGCGCCATCTTCGATCTACTTGAGAGCCATAATTTGATAAGCAGCTAAATTGATTAGAGCGCTGACAGATATCGATGTCAATGTACATTCCAGTTTGCAATTTAGTTACGCACCAGATTCAATTATCGAGAGCCAACTCACTCAGCTCACTCACTTATTGTTTTGCCTTTAAGAACATGTTGTTTGGACATAGACTCGCACATATGCCCCAAAGCCAGCCAAGGGCTCATTGAATAAAGCCAGCGCCAAGCAAAACCTAAAGGCAATGGCCAAAATCAATCAGCGCTTAACTGTAAAAGCATAATGCTCGACTAGCAGATACCCTGTGAGTGAGTTGATAATGTTAAAGTAACTGCAGGTTGAGTAAATTGAGACTATGAAGCGCTACCACATCACACGGAAGAATGCATAAAATGGTCGACTGACAGATATCCTGTAAGGCTTCGAATTTCTTTTCGTTACGTGTATACATATATGTATATACCCTACAGAGTTCAAGCTCACACATATGCACAGCAACAATATACCCTACCTACAGCATCTACAGGGTATATAACTACAATTTAATGCACGCTGCCCATGGCTAAGAAATGACGAGCAAGCACTGAATCGTTGTTGTTGCTACTGTTGCTGTTGCTGCTGCTGCTGTCGTCGAGGCAACATTTTGGCCGCGAACAAACACCAGAATGATTCATCCCACTCGGCACTTTGGCATTGGGCAAATGTCCTTAGCGAGAATGACGGGGCAGGATTGAAATGGCAAACAACAGCGTCGCCATTTTCATTATCCTTGGACTTGCACAAGTAAACATTTCGTATTGTATTTAAAAATGAAATGACAACATTCCGGAAAATCCTCGAGCTCAAGCTCAGGCTCAGCCACGCTTCAGCCAGGACAATTGAAAATGCTTTTTGTGCAAATGTCGCAGCCAGCAGCAGCAACAGCAATGTCCAAAGCCGACTGCAGGATATGCCATGCTGAGTTTAAGGTCTGACTATAAGTTTCCGAGAGACTTGTAAAGAAATGTTCATACGCACCCACACACAGACACACACACAGAGACATCTATTTAATAATATAGAACAAAATATTTATAGCTACTCGGTCTAGTTTTGTGCTCTTTACTATTTAAGAATGGCTTTAAATTTCCATTTTTATTAGCTTTAGCTTATTTCTGCAGCAACCCTCGCACTTCCCATATAGTATGTCCAGCAAGGCCACGCTTCTGCAGCTTGTTTGTGTTTTGATTGGGGGTAGTTACCAAAAAGAAAACAGAAGGTTTTTGTCAATATTTTAGAATCGTCTTCTTCTTCTTTTTCATCTATTATGTTGTCAGCAGCTCTATGCCCATCCTCCTGCTCATTCTTATGCAGGCGGAGAACGACTCTTTGATTGCCAAAAACTTGGCAATTTACCAAATTACCTGATTCAGATATCTCTCCTTTTGTGCTCAAAGATTTTGATATATTTTTTTCATAAAAATCCTCTATAAGCTAAACACGTTAGAACAATAATAGCTAAAATTATAAAAAATTTGATATAACTTTATTATAACTATAAAATAGCTTTGAGGTCTAATTGAAGAACAACTCAATCTTTCGACATTCTGGCATAAAAAGATGTTTTCCACAAGTCTTCATAAGCGTAACCAAAATATTTTTTGTCTTCCTCTATCAAAGTCAAAGTCAAAGCCAAATCATTATCTCTGAATTTTTCGTTTCGACAGAGAAACGAAATTAGAGCAATGTGCGCTCATTATCAATTCTTCAACGAGCATAAAAATTTATATTTTCGCTGCAATAAAACAGAGCACCCAAAAAAAAGATATTGTTTTTGCTTAATAAAAACTGAATAGCTCTTGGATAATAAACATTTTAGTTGATAACGACATACTAATTTTGAGAACATTTTTATTAATATTTAATAGCAAAACTAAAGTACCTTGGATAGCTTACCTTTAGATTTTACTTAAAAATTTAATGTGCCGCTTCTCTTATGATATCAAAGGCAAATGTTTATGATATCATAAGACCAGTATATAGTCAGCATATATATTAGACAGTATCTGCTCGTCGTTCATCGTTGACCCACTTGCTGAAGGTCAAGGCTTTCGGCATGTTATTGCGACCGGAAGTTGGCAGCGGCAAAGCGCTAGCAGTGCTTAGTTTGCTGCTATCTTAGCACTCAATTATAAAAGTCTCAGCGAAAGTGGAAAATAAAACGAAAGGCTTCAAAGAGAGAGGGACGAAGAAAGAGAGCGAAAGTGCAGAACGCAGTGGCCACAGTTGCTAAATATTAAAAGAAATGAAGAAACAACGAAAAATGTTTTGCTCTGCGGCCGCAATGGGTGGGCGAAGCTACCTGCTGCGCACAAAAATAGGCAACGTTTGCCTGCACTTAGTTAAGTATATGTGCAAGTGTGTGTGCACGTGTGTGTATGTCTCGCTGTGCAATGGAACAATGGCCGTTTAGCTCAATGCTTAATGCTCCTAGCTGTCGCTTGAAGCGTATAAGAATTGTTCAAACCACCAAGCAGCAACAAAAAAGTAAAAATTGCACAGGGAATGACTAGCATATACCCTGGAAAATGTCCAGTTGCATTGCATTGCAGCTGTACATTAGAGTACTTTTTGAGTTGCTTGCCTTAAGTTGATATAAAAATTGAATTAGATATAGAAATAGGAAATTTTTTCATTTATAGATAATAGATAATAGAATAGATCTTAAAGGCCTAATTGCTTGTTACATACATATGCTCAAATCAGCACACCCGATTTTAAATAATTGAACGTATTGGGCAAAAACGCTTTCAACTGTTTTTTTACCTGCATCTTTATTCCACTCGGCGTTGGGCATTAAACAGAAATGTTCAAATATTTGTTGTGGCTCGTGTTTGTAGCTAAGCTTTTACCAGCACACCTGTACACACCTGCTAAATTCGCATTTTCAATTGTAGGCAACGGCTTAATCAACGAGGCCGAGTTTCTGCAGTGGGTGGGCAGAATCCAGGCGCTGCGAGACGAACAGCAGCAACAGCACGATGACAGCACCAGCAATGCCAGCAAACCCGTCGACGAGGCCGACGACGTAACCGAGGATCTAATAGCTGCATTTAGGTAAGTGGCCTAGCTGGCTTAACTGACAGATATGTATATGTATATATGCTGATTGCTAAACTCAAATTCACAGAGTATTTGATCGTGATGGCAACGGGTTTATCACACGAGATGAACTGCAGACGGCAATGGAAATGATTGGGGAGCCCTTGAATGAGCAGCAGGTGGAGCAGCTGCTCGCTATTGCCGACTTGGATCAGGATGGCCGCATTAATTACGAGGGTAAGTTACATACAAATACACAGTCACGCACCAATGCTGCACCCACAAAGGCCGACAGTGACGTGGACAAGCATGAGGCCAGTGTAGACCGCTTTTTATGCTAGTTCATATGGGGAAAAGAGAGTATATACAAGCTATGTTGAATGGTATACATTGAACGTAATAAACTAGAATATGGACTGAAGTATATGTAGGACATAGACGTATCTATATACCTGCGTTACGGAGCTAGAAAATCGAAATTGAATTACTTGAGTATATTATATATACTTATAGCGGATGTTTAGATCTACATCTAATTAATCCATCTGAAGTCAGTCAACATATCAGCTCTGTCCCAGTTTTGAAAGTAAAAGTCTAAAAAATATTCCAAAAAAATTTTTACTTCCCTTTATGAGTATACAAATTTATAAAAAAAAAAACTTCAAGAAACATTTTTTTAATAAAAATATATTTATTACTTAACGAACAAGTTTTTTTTAGTCATTAACACCCAGCCGCATTTTTCTATTTTCTCTTATTTTGTCAGTCCGAAGGACTCATAAAAAATATAAATAAAGCCACAAAATGCGTTAGCTTTCACTTTTACCGTTGCTGTCTGCGCGTTAATCAAGCTGCAGCATAAAACCCACACACTCGCACACACACGCACACACATGCTCACGTGTAGCTATATAACCTTGTGCCAATATTTGCGAAAGCCTCACTCATAAATCAGCTAGACAAATACAAATAGAAACCGCAGCAAACGAGACTTCAAGTTGAATAACCCTAGGCGCAGCAGTTCGACTAACAAAGAATCCCCCGCCCCCCACATACTCAAGGTCTATGTCTGAATTCATTTGGCTTTTGTTTATGAATGACAGCTTTAGAAAACTGCATTAGTTCATGCTCCAGTTCAATAATCGTATTTAAATGGCACATCAGTTCAATTTGAAAACTAGTTCATGGCGAAGGCTTAATCTTGCCAACGCTCAAAAGTAGGCAATAGATTTTTTACCATAAAGTTGAAACTCTTTCACAAGTCAATTGAAGCTCAATTAACGTCATTTACTTCAACTGCTGAACATTTTTAAAGTGTATTTAATTGTTGCATTCAACTATTGCTCTGCCAACTGAAAAGAAATCAAGACAAAGAGACATTTCTAGAGGGCATTTACATGTTGAATAAAGAGGAAAAAGAAAAACAGAAAAGCTTGTCACATTTACATTTTGGACAGAGTATTCCATAGCACTCGATAGCAACTATCATCATTGGCTGACATAAAGAGTCAAAAGTAAACATTTGTCCTAAGGACACGTTCGATGTGTCCCCTGCGCAGCATTAAATTGATTTACGCAACCCAAAGGCAGATGTTTCATGCATTGTCAAATGTGTGCGTGTGCGTAAGCGTATGTGTGTATGTTGGCCAAGCACATACATAMATGGCTTCTCTAAGCATGTGAGTGTGTGTAAGTTGACTTGAGTTTGTCATTAGGTTCAGATGCCATGGCATTACAAGTTGTTACTTTGACCTTGGCGTGGTAAACGCATGTAACCCAAGTCTCCCTCGCTCTGCACTCATTGGCTGCCTTCTGCAATTTATTTATTTTAGCCTATTTATTTAACACCGACATGTGCAAAGAATGTAATTTATTTCTGCAATAGCTAGCTCACATGATTAATAAAAACAAAAAATAGCTGAGGCAGGATATAGGATATATTTTAAAATATTTTCTTATTTGAAAACATACCCCTTTAGAGGGTTTTCCCACTGGCTCTATACCGTTTATTTGCATATAACTTTGTTTACATATTATACATACATAACATATATGAATTTTATTGAATTCTTTCTCTTCTTTCTCTTGCAGAGTTTACGAGACTTTTGCTGTAAGCGACGAACGTAACGCAATTTCGTTTGGATGGGGCAAAAGCTTAACAAATGAAACTTAATTATACTCAGTCGGAATTCATGAATGTTTTATACAAAACAAGAAAAAGCAAAACAAAAATTATATTTATATTTGAATTAATTATGCTAAGAAACTAAGAGAAAGCAGCAGCACATTAGAACGAACTTTCAAAACTTTTGCAATTTGAAAAGCGGAAAAACATGGGAAGTTTTCTCTTGGACAAACACAAACACACACACAAAATACACACACATTAGTTTCTAAATCATTTGTAAAAAAAAGAGAAGAAAATTCTTAATATTCATTTTTTGTACGACTTTAGTTAATAGTTGGAACAGTTTTGTATAATTATGCTCGTTCACAAAATGAAAACAGAGTCTATGGGTTCGTTCGTCTGGATGTCTGAATCTAGTTACTTTAAATTTGGAACATATTATTGAACAATATTTTCTAATACGCCTATTATGGAGTCCTTTAGTAATTTGGAAAGGGGGCTAACAGCTCAACCGGGTTTTAAGTACTTTCTGGGCATGGAAAAACTATGTTTTTCATAGTTTTCCACTTGAGATCTGTAGCTCTATTATCTAATAGCAAATCAAATATTTTCTCTAACCAATTCGATCATTTTCAAATCGTGAGCGAGTATGCCGCAGTCGGCTGTACCCGACTGTCAAGGTCTTAATTGTTTTAGTTTTTTATAAATTCATAAATTTGTTTACGTAATAAACATTATATGAAATTACATTATATAACATACATATAAATATATATAACTATATATATC